AGTTGTCTAGACAACACCGTGACACAGGACTAACACCAGTTGTCTAGACAACACAGTGACACAGGACTAACACCAGTTGTCTAGACAACACAGTGACACAGGACTAACACCAGTTGTCTAGATAACAACACTGTGACACAGGACTAACATAGATTGTCAATGTAACAACACTGTGAGACGGGACTAACATCAGTTGTCAAGGTAACAACACTGACACAGAACTAACACCAATTGTCAAGGTAACAACACTGTGAGATGGGACTAACACCAGTTGTCTAGATAACAACACTGTGACACAGGACTAACATAAATTGTCAATGTAACAACACTGTGAGATGGGACTAACACCAGTTGTCTAGATAACAACACTGTAACACAGGACTAACACCAATTGTGAAACTAACAACACTGTAACACTGGACTAACACCATTTTTCAAGGTAACAACACTGTGAGACGGGACTAACACCAGTTGTCAAGGTAAAAACCCTGACACAGAACTAACACCAATTGTGAAAGTAACAACACTGACACAGGACTAACAAAGATTGTCAATGTAACAACACTGACACAGGACTAACACCAGTTGTCTAGACAACACTGACACAGAACTAACACCAGTTCTCTAGATAACACTGAGACTGGACCAACACCATTTTCCAAGGTAACAACACTGTGAGATGGGATTGACAACTGGTGTTAGAACTGGTGTTAGTCCCATCTCACAGTGTTGTTACCTTGAAAAATGGTGTTAGTCCAGTCTCAGTGTTATCTAGAGAACTGGTGTTAGTTCTGTGTCAGTGTTGTTACAGTTCTCTAGATAACACTGAGACTGGACTAACACCATTTTCCAAGGTAACAACACTGTGAGATGAGACTAACACCAGTTGTCAAGGTAACAACACTGTGACACAGAACTAACACCAATTGTCAAAGTAACAACACTGACACAGGACTAACACCAGTTGTCTAGATAATAACACTGTAACACAGGACTAACCATGGTTGTTTAAAACATTCTATAAAATACAAAGTAGTTCACAAAAACCTTTTTGGCAGTCGGTAGTATCTAAAAACTATTGTAAGAGTTTTGAAATGAAACTTGGGTATTATAGATAGTGCAGATTCATTCTGAACCTGACATTAAGCTATTACTTAATCGACTCGGGTATGTGTATTAATCTGTAATCAACGTGCGTCATTCTACGGTAGCAGAAGAAGAAAATTGTCATTTCACAATCAAATTCTGTTGTAAAGGTTTCAGTAAAACATTTAGTTGTTACATTCAAATGTTATTGGTTTATAAACGTACAATTCTGAAGACCTTAACTTGGCCAATGACCAAGCGTGTTCATTAGTAAGAATATAGGAGAAAAACAGACTTGAAAACTTTTTTTTTATTTGAGTGTTTTCCCAAGTTACACATCAATTCCCATATTTTTAGAATAAAGGTTCAGGAAATACAAACGTCACTTCTTTGCCCGTTAGCTTTTTGTAGATAGCAGCAAACGTGTCAGTCTGAAAAATACAGAAAATAAAACTTACACATTACATATCTACCTGTTAAGAGTTGGATAACACAGTTTCATATAAAATAGAACACGATCATCTCCACAAAACTATTATCATCGTGCCTCAATACTCACGACTTCTAAAAATAAACTACAGGTATAAAGAGTAACAGGTACTTTCAGAATCATACTTCTGTCAACATTTCTGATTAGACTTCAGAGTTGGATTGTTTTAGTCATCATTACAGTACACTGTTACAATAACCATCTTCTGATGACACGATCATAAAGGATGTCAAGGGTAATGTAACCCAGGAGGGTTTAATAAACACAATATAATCTACAACACACGTTTCTAATAGTAATAAACACAATCTGAAGCACAACATCAGAAGAATTATGAAAATAGCACAACCTGCAAAACAACCAACAAGGTTATTAAAATATGGCACGATCTGGAATATAAAGGTTACAACACACAGCATAATCGGGAATACGACTGCAAGATAATAAAAAACAGCATAGACTGAACAAATGTTATAAAAACACTATTACTGGAGGGTTATATATAAAAAGAAAGACATAAAGTGGAAGATGAACACATGGTAATAATGATAATACTACCAGTCAAGTTACCAACATTCCATGTATGCACACATGGTAATAATGATAATACTACCAGTCAAGTTACCAACATTCCATGTATGCACACATGGTAATAATGATAATACTACCAGTCAAGTTACCAACATTCCATGTATGCACACATGGTAAT